GAGCGGCATTTTGACGGTCGGGGTCTCCGGTCGGGACAACTGCTCGCGCATTGAGAACCTGTCGTAATCGCCGTCCGATCCCTATATCGGATAAACAGTTAGTTATTGTATTGACGCCAATATAATCAGAAATCGCATTACGATTATTGTGGGCGTTATTTGCGACAAACGAGAGGGTCGTCTACCGTTCCTGCGATTAGCTATGGCTCCCATTTCCACTCCCGATATTCTGTAGTTTGTCATATTTATGGACACACAGCTACTCCTACGCATGCCATCCCTGCCCTCGATGTTCAGGTTGTTGTTAGTCATCGGCGGCTGAAACAGGTTTTGACTCATTCGGCGCATCAGATCCGCCTAAAAGACATCATAATTTATATGAATTGGGTTTCATGGACTACTACTGGACTTTAATTACATTATGCGTGGAAAGCCGTGTCCTATGTATAGACCGGTAGACGTCATCGGCCTCGACATCCCTAACGATATCATTAAGTGTATGGAATTGAGTGACTCTGGCTTCGGGACTGTTGGACAACAACTCGTTGGCATCGATTCCGTTCATATCCTTTCAGTTCAATGCAAAACACATTAAAATATTGTTTTACTATTTATTATAAGATGTATTAGGGTACTATATTAATAACAATACTATGATCTGTAAGTACCAGTATATCATATAATATAAGAATATAAGAATATAAGAATATAAGAATATTAGTATATCATATAATATTAGTATATTATATTACTGTTTGTAGGTTCACTTACCGCCCATTCTTTGAGCACCCGTTCCCCCATATTATCCCCACTATTACTTCCGTGCTTTGCATTATATTCGCGTACAACCTATTATTAATACAGTATTGATTAAATTGCTTGATTATTTATAAACAAATCGCATATTCATAGCAAAAATATTCATTGAAATAGAAATCTATAAATACTTTGATGTCCTCCTGGAAGAAGCGTCTGGTGTTTGGCGACATTGTAGATAACGGTGCGATCTCTTTGATCTGATTAACACAGAAAAAGTTAATTACTTCGCAAGAATACACCTAATTATAGAAATATTTTTTGCAAACCTTAAGCAAAATCAATGCTCCGATAAATATATTGGTGATATTAATAAGCGATAAAATAAGACTATATGCGCCCAAAATTCCCGTTTCTATGGCAATATTGTCGTTGTGAAAGGGTATATAAAACTCTTCCGGTCTCAACGAAGGCCGCATATTATTATAGCACAGATATTAATAAGCGATAAAATAAGACTATATGCGCCCAAAATTGCCGTTTCTATGGCAATATTGTCGTTATGAAAGGGTATATAAAACTCTTCCGGTCTCAACGAAGGCCGCATATTATTATAGCACCGGGGTTTAGTCAAGTTGCCCAGGGAATAGTAGCATTTATCTTCCGGCGATTCCCCGATAGAGTATAGGGTTTTGAGTGTTGCGAACGCCCATAAGAGACCCTTCAATTGAAATATAATTATCATATATACTGTATATTACGGTAAATAAAATTTATTCAA